CAAAAGCACCATATGCAGGCGATAGTGGAATATAAGTACATAAATAAGAAAAGTTGACGATTGAATAGCCGAAGTCATCTCGTTTTTCATTCAATTTAGTTGTTAGTTGGTCTTAATCTTCTACAGTCAGTAAAACATCTGGATATAAATCAGATTTGGCAGACTCTGTGGTGTCTTTTATGTCGAGTTTACTGGGATATATCGAGTCGACATATGAATCGAAGTATCTATTGGTAATTGAGAAAGCGTCGTCGATATATCTGTATATCGAGTTGAAGACCACAGTAAGTGTTTTCTTCTTCTCATGTAGAAGTTTTCGTTAAATTTTGGTTCACTCTAACAAAACTGGTTCTTTAATATACTGGTTACAGAACAAACTCAAGATTATTGCACTCCTTTATAACAAAATCTTAATAGTTTTAATAAAATAACTTCGTCAAAGTAACAAAATAATATTCTGCTAACTGAAAAATAGTTGTTTATTTTAAAATAAAATTAATGTTCCTTAGTTTGTATTACCTTGCCAAGGAGACTGAGCTCGTTTTTTGCTCAAAGCAGGCGAAATGAGAACACATGTATTAGAATGAATAATGTCATTTATTTTGTAAATGACGAAAAGATATATACAAAACAGGAGGTCATTCATAAACATGTAACTATAGTAATAACACATGTGGTGCTGAACACAATCATGACCCCCTATAATACTACATATGAAAATAAATATCTACACAAAACAACAGATAGGGGGCCAAAGGACTAGAGATATTATGCAACACATGTACAAAAAATACATGACAGACCCCCTACTGTAAACACATATGTAAAAAATAGTAGCATCAATAAACTGCCTGCCCACAAAAAAGGTGGGTAGCCTCAAACACTTAGGCCACAAATCCAATTAAGAATTGGATCCACCCACTCAAAGGCTGCTTGGCAAGGATTATGACCCTAAGGAAAAAATGACATGTAAAAAGGATAACATTATATACATAAAATACAAGCGCAGATCATAACATTTTTGTAATAGCTGAAAGCAGAGACTTACAAACAGTTAAAGGACATAAAAACAATATGGCTTTCTTGAAGAACAACTTCTGTTCTCTGAAACAAGTGACAGCAGACAAATTCTGACCTGTCAGACATACAAAAATTTAAAAATAATCAAATACACATGATAAGGTGAGAACAAAATAATACTTAATTTAATCACAGCAGCAAAAGTTCTGCCCAGAAAAACTATGCCAACTAAAGACATTCCTTGCATACATAAGGTAAGCTACTGTGGTTCGCATCAGTGTTATACATAACATCAAAGGACTTTACATAATTATACACATAGCATGAAAGCCCAAGCAAAATTTTTTTGGTGTTTCTTACACCAAAGAACAATGTCTTATGACAGCAGACAATTTCTGACCTGTCAATCACATCCGGTAAACCAGCAAGGTCATATACATCACACAAAATAGATATTTCACTAAAATGAAAAAAAAGGTCACATCCTATCATCAGGAACAAGAGCAAGCAATTGCTCCAGAAATGACAACATGACTGCTTTTTAAAATATGGTAAATTAGTAACGGGAGGAGAATAAACCACTGCATAAATACTACAAAAATTGTACATAAATTAATTACAGAATGATATTCACAGCAGACAATTTCTGACCTGTGAACTTAATGACAACAGACAACTTATGACCTGTCTTTCATATTCCCCCTTGACATATTCCAGAGAAATTGGCAGCAGCCAAATGCTGACCTGCCACATGTAATTACTGAAGGTAGCTTAAGGGGGTCACCTTGTTACTTAAAAACGGAAGGAGTTGATACGTATATACCTGCGAAAGGGATCAGAGTTCCATCGACCTAATTTTTGAATGAGGTTTTCAGAATAGCCCAAGGAAGCTGCATATGTGGCTGCGCCTTTTCTGAAAATATGACCCTTAAAATTGTTTGGAATAAGCCCAATAAACTCTACTGCTGATTTTAAATGAGTAGTAACTTTTGCATATGAAATTTTGAGAGCATCGTTTGTTTGAAATAATGGGCCAGATGTGTGTTTTGAATATTGGAAATATTCAAAAAGGGCATGTGCCGGACAAAACGGTGAACCCTGAATAGCTTGAAGGGAAAATACCAAAGGGGTATGCTGCTTATTTGTTTTGAACTCACGCATTATGATTTGAACTGCTGACAATGTAGACCCTATATAGTCAAAAGTGACATCTGTTTGTTGACTGCATGCACAGCAGCCTCATTATCTGACATAAACAATATTTTCTTATTAGCAAGACTTGGTCCCCAGATTTCAAGAGCTATGACAATAGGGAATAACTCCTTTATAGCTATCTGATGGTGTTCTAAATCTGTTACCACATCCCAGACAAGAGCGAAGCATTCCCTACCAAGAACTCCTGCAAAACCTATAGAACCGGAAGCATCTGTATACAACAGTGCTTTATCTGATGATGTGAAAACATCTGGTAAAATTACAGACTTCCCATTATAATTTTCGATAAAATGAGATCACATTTGTATATCAGCCCTTGTTTCACATGTAAGTCTGATAAAATGAGAAGGATTAGACACACCACAAGTGAAATCTATAATGCGCCTAAGAAAACCCCGGCCAGGTACAACTACTAAACAGGCTGTAGCTCTTTAAGGGTAATCTTTTTCCTATGCTTTACTTCTTGCAGCTTATTTCGTATCTTGACAAGCTTTGCCTCAGGCAACCGACATTCTACAACATTTGAATCAACTTCAATGCCATAAATTGTTAATATGGTTGTTGGGAAATGGGTTTTTTTTTTTTTTATTGGAATACCTGCTTCATTGCATATTGCCAAAAACTGTTGTAAATCTAAAAAACACTTATCTGAATCTTTTGGACCAAAAGAAAAAATCATCCAGCATGTGAGACATGCCTGCAGCATCAAATTTTGTACACATAGCCCATTGTAAACCTTTACTAAGGGATTCAAAGATCTGACAAGAACTGCTAGCTCCCATGGGCAGACATTTATCATAAAAATAAAGACCTTGCCATGAAAAACCGAGAAGTTTGTAATCTTCGGGGTGTACAGGTACAATGCGGAATGCATCTTGAATATCTGTTTTTGCCATGAGAGAGTCCTTACCAAATTGCCTTAACAGGGCTGTAACATTGTCAATCGAATCGTACTGAACAGTGGCACGCTCTTGAGGGATTTGACTGTTAACAGAATTGTGTTTTGGAAATGATAAATCATGCATTACCCTAAATTTTCCTGCCTCAGATTTTGGTACAACTCCCAAAGGGGATGAAACAAAACATTCGAAAGGTTGGGATTTGAAAGGACCAGCAATTCTACCCTTCTGTAAGCCTTGATCTATAAAGTCATCTATAACTGATTGATAATCTGTTGTACTTTTATGATTTTTTGAAATTGTTGGAGTGGGTAGACCTACACAACCTAGTTTAAAACCTTGATTAAAACCATCGATCAGAAATTTAAGTTTCTGTGGGTCATAACCCTCCAAGACTCTATTCAGATTTTTTTGCTTTGACGGGCGTTGGGAGGTTTTGTGAAACTTGATTTTGGGGTATCTGGGCATCTTGATTTGGGGTGGTTTGATTTGCACCGCATACATATGTGTTGAAAGAGGCAAGGGCTTCTACTGCAACGTTCACCCTTGTTGAATTGAAAACAGAATCTCGTTCGAAAGGGCTGATTCTGTTGCGGCTTTTGAACTTGAAATTTTGTTGTTGCAGCTTTAAGGCGCAACTTCTGAATTGGGTTTTGCCATGGAACATTCATTGATTCCCTAAGTTTCCTAAACTGTTCGTCGTACAATCTGAATGCATGATCACCATGCAAATACTGCACTTCACGGATCATGTGGCAGTATTTAAGAAGGTTAGGGGCCTCATTGGGGAATTTCTCAATATAAATAGCTGCAAAATTGAGAAACGCGTCAGTCCACTGACCAAGAGTGATAGGGACTTTGGACTTGTGGCCCTGATGCAAGTTAATCACCCCTGTCGAGATGGTTACAGAAAGAGGTTCCTCTTTCGTACTAAGTAATGATTTTAAATCAATAAACTCATTGTTCCAAATCTTTTGTTTCAGTTTAATAGATACTGAGGCACCCAATGGGATACCATCTTTCATGTCCACACTAAGTGTGGATGACCTTGCTGGCTCACCTAAAAACACCTGGGCCCGGTTGTTCAAAAGGTGGTTAAATTTAACACAGTGTTATTTCTGTGTTAACAAGTGTGTTAAATTTAACCACATGATTAAGTGTTGTTCAAAGGTGTGTTTGTGTTAACAAGGTGTTAAATCTGTGTTAAATTTAATCCACCTACGGTAGGTAGATATAAGAAGTTAACACCGTGATTAAATATGGCCGCTAATTTTCTTATTCATCCGCCTGGACCCAGAAAACAGCGTGTTTTTAGACTACACACAAATATAGACGGGTGGTCTGATGAAGAATTAAGAAGAAGGTACCGATTTGGTCAACATGGCATAAATTTTATTGGGGATGTCATCAGAAATGATTTAGAAAGAGCCACTAAAAGGAACAGCGCACTTAGCGTCCAACATCAATAATGATAACCTTGCGCTACCTTGCAAGTGGTAGTTTTTTGCAGGTTGTCGGGGACACCCTAGGTACAATTAATAGAATACAGTACATATACTATGTAAATGTTAAAATGAAGTTTAATTAAAGTTAAAAATAATAATGACACAGTGCATGGAAAATTTCATGGGTATATATCGCATGTATTAAACGTAAAATGCGGATTAAATAGTCTATCCATAATGAAAAAAAATATATACAGATTACTCAAATTTGAACAGGGTTTGACAAAAGTACAGTTTCTCGCACCGTTAAAAGAGTCACAGAAGCACTGGTTGCTAGAGCTGACACATTTATAAAATGGCCCGACGCAACAGCAAAGTCTACGATCAAAACGGGCTTCTACCGCATGGCAGGTTTCCCCAATGTAATCGGGTGCATCGATGGGACTCATGTACGGATCCAGGCCCCTTCACACGACGAAAATTCCTTCGTGAATAGGAAAGGATTTCACAGCATCAATGTCCAAGCTGTATGTGACCACGAAGGTATCTATCACTGACCTTTCAAAGGCCCCTTGTGTCATTTTCGTTCGATGTTTTGTTTTTTTTTAATGTCATAAAATTTATAATTTCTAGATACAATGAATTCAAAGGTTTTTCAATCCTCCTTCTACAATCCCTCTTTCATTATTATCGTATTAGTTGTTTTCAATTCGTATTCAATGTTTTAAATGATTTTTTAAAGTGATATATGCATGTAATCTAGATTAACCTCCCCTTCGAAAAATGTGGCGGATCCAACCTTTGATTATTTATTTCACTAAAATCAAGAAGACATCATTGTATTGGGACTGGACCCTACATGTACAAGAAAATAAATTCAATTTCATTTTTTTAAATAAAAATTGAAAAAGAGATTCATATCAGAATAAAGTTGTTGTACATGTCTGCAAATTTAAATATTAAAAAATAACAGGAACCTATACACTAACGTTAGTATATAGGTCCCTGAAAATAATTTAAAAAATAATTAAAGTCCTATATGCCTTTCTTTATATACAATCTAGTCTTGATATATTTGTTCATTGATTTTTTTTTTAATTATTTGGTTTCTGAATTTACAACATAGAATTTGGGACATGCAAGTACTTTCACATGAAATTTTTAGGTAATTAAAATGGGGTCCTATTACCGGTATACTAGGTATCTGATTATTTATTACAACTGCAATATATCTTGGTAAAGTATATAAAATTGACCTTTGATTTATCGGAAAATTGAGAAACTGAATTATTTTGCACATTAATCAGCTCCAACCCCTATACTAGTGCAAGCTTTGGAAAAAAAAAAAATCCTGAAACATGCATGATCAATAATAATTATTATGTTTCTCTTGACTAGTAGAATGTTCCATTATTAATAATAATATATTGTATTTATATGAAAAACAGAAATTTTAAAGAATAAAGCCTGTCCTCCATATTTATATTGCTATTAAATCATGCACCACCTGTCCCCCCCCCCCTTCCTCACACAAAGTGTGTTTTAAATCAATTCAGTTACAATTTATGCATATAATCACTTTCTAGTTGTTGACATTAAACTGAATATTATAACATTTATTGCAGGAAAGCTTACAAACATCAATGCATCTTGGCCTGGGTCTGTACATGATTCCCACATCTTCAGAACATCACAGGTATTGAAGTAATATCAGGGACCTATAGGTCCCTGGTAATGTATTTATGATATTTTAAGAATGTTCTTCAACATGCAACGCATGTCCTCTATCTCTCTCTAACTTCCATAATCTCTCATATTAGAGGCACATTATATCTCTTTCATGATTTTTATCTCTCTTTCGTTCTCTCATCATATGCATTAATATTGAGAGTCTAATGACTATTAGATTTTGGAGGTTGATTTGGAATATTGCAATCTAGCATAAGAAAAGCCTGATAATATTTATTTAATTATCAGATCAGAACATATTTGGAGGAGGAGGAGAACGGTCTATTTGAAAATGGAGTTTTGTTAGGAGACAGTGGATATGCTTGCCGACCATTTCTTCTAACTCCTTATGCCAATCCCCAGAATGAACCTGAGGAGAAGTACAATCAAGCCCATGCAAGAACGAGAAGTGAAATTGAGCGCACCTTTGGGCGACTTAAATAGTCATGGCAAATGAACATAATCTGTTAATGCACTGTTCATAATATTAAATGTGCTGTTCATAAAGATTAAATTGGTCCCAAATACAATTTAGAACAAATGGTGTATGGCTCTGCATAACTACTGAAGTAACCACCTTCTTACTATATTGTATAATGCGTATGGTCCGGCATAGGTGAATAGCATATAATACTTATAGCAAAATCTTATGAACAGTATAATTCATACTTCATTATGTGTATGGTCCCACATAACTACTAAAAGAAGCCACAGCAACAAAAATTGTTAACTGAAATTTGTGTTTGTTTTTAACTACATTAGGGAAAATGAAAGCAAAAACCCTACATATGGTCCTGCATAGTCACATGACTAATATACTAATAAATGTGTATGGTCCCCCAGATACCAAGTATTTTATTTCCATACATTTTCCCCTTTTAAAAGTACAAGCACAAACAAAAATAAACAGAAGCCAGTCTACAAGTATGTAAAATTATCAGAGAAGTGTTCAAATTATAATGGCCTTAGCAATGTTTTGAAGTGAAGTATTACTGAACGAATGCTGCGCCAATATCGGTGCATAGGAGAGGATGACACAACATGGACTGATGATCTTGGGTATTGCATTTGAACCCCATCATGGCAGAGGAAATTCAAGTCGCTCCAAAAGCCTCTGTGGTGCCAAAAATAAATTCCCTCTCGTTCGGAACACCCTGCCTTAAGAAGATTCGTGGCAACGATTTTCCCATTAAAGTCACTGGAGGACGCCCAAGGTTGGCGACGCAATAGTTGTCCCACAATCACGATTGGAATACCCATCCCCTCATGTAAATTACTTGCTACTGAAAGGATATCTGTTGCCAGTTTGTTCACATCATAGCGCGAAATGTCATTTTCACCGATCTGAATGAAGCACATATGCGGTTTGCTATGAAAAGTAATGAAGTCCGATAACTGGGACACTCTTAATCCTCCTCGTGCACAAACTGACACATTAAAATTGTCTGAACCCAAATTTAAATTCATTAGCTTTGAATTTGACTCCATATAACGTTAAAGACGTGAAACAAATGAATGTTCTATCAAACAAACACTGAGACAATTCGCATCGTCCATGTTGTGGTCCATCTCCGTAACCGGTTCTAACCGGATTGCGCACTGAACAGGCGAACTGAGCAAAACAAAACAATAAGTTCAGGAGAATGTGCTAACACTCACCGTTCTCTGCCAAACAATGTTAGATAAACATTATAATGTAACTACAAGTTCCTTGTACACGGAGAACGTAACGTAAATACATACGTAAACTTTGCAAAACTTTACAAATTTCACTGCACAGATATAGCGTGGCTTCTCGTCCAAAATAAACAGATCAATAAATGACACATGACAAATTGGCTTAAGTGTACAAGTTAAAGGTCAGGTTAAACATAGGTCACAAGAAGTTTACATAATCTAAGTAAGGAATAGGGTAAAGTCAGTGAAACAAATATAAACACTGCACATGTCACATAAAAGTTATTATTTACAATAATTACTTATATCTATCACCTTTTGGAACCTCTCCAATTGACGATAATATTGTTATGACTATAAAGGACGTTGTAGAAATACGCGTTAAAATATTCTTAGAGAATGAGTAAAGTATTGATATTTATATAATCAACATGGGTTTTGATTGATTGATTGATTGCATGTTGTTTTACATCCCATTCGAGAATTTTTCAATCATATAGAGACATCACCATATACCGGTGAAGGGCTTCAAATTCTGACCTTTACTCGGCACTCAGGGCCATTGAGCAGTGATGGATCTTTATCGTGCCAACGCCTGCCGTGACACGGGACCTCGGTTTTTAAGGTCTCATCCGAAGGACCCGCAACTTTCACTTCAAAGTGCCGAGCGCATGGCGAAGGAACAGTTGCTACCCATTTTTTATCGACTTAAGTCAGTTGCGGCCAAGATTCGAACTCACGACCTCCCGATCACGGAGCGAGCGCTCTACCGACTGAGCTACCGTGAACGGTACATGGGTTTTGATAAATGGGGATTCTGCTGTTTGCATATGTATAAATTGGGTCTCTGCTGGATTCGGCCAAAGCGGCGTCAGGTACCTCAGTTGATTGTCACGTGATAAGTTAAAAAAGTAGAAGAAATATGTACGGCTTCAAATATAGTAAAAGTTCAATGATATACGGATATTTTTTTTCCATATGGAATAGGTTGTGTTTGTTTTGAGACAAAATGCTTAGCATTGAAATAATGTCAAATTAAGGAATAAAGCAACAAAGCACAGCCAGCTACTAACATGTTTCAAAATAGTACGAATAATAGTTACACCTGTTTAAAAACTCCTAATTTATATTGAAGCGGATATCGTTGATTTTTTTATATTTTCTTCGAGAAGCTACGTCTGACGTTCTAGTACGTTAGTGTACAAGTGTGCCACACTACGTCTTTATATTTAAGTCTATACATTGCATAGGTAGGCTGATATATGTGAGGGAGTGCTTAACATACCGGCCAAAATACAAACTGCATTTTTATTAATTTCTATTTTTTTATTTATCAAAAGAAAAGAATTTATTCTGCTATAAGAAATACGCTATAACATTTTTGTAAACAGGGATTTCGTGTTTTTGCTGTCGGATATGCTTATAAATTCAAAAAAATGTGAGATAAAGTCATAATATAAAGTATTAATTTATATTTCACAAATTCATGAAGACAATAACATCATAAGAACAATAAATGAGTATTACTCAGGAACATACATGTTCGGATTGTATATTACCACAAATGCAGCTCGATGCAATTTATTCGTTCTTCGTTATATAAGCATGTGGGATTAAATTCGTCATTCAAAAAAAAAAAAAAAAAAAAAAAAAAAAAAATATTTTTTTTCCTATAAAAAGCAAATAAATAACCTTTGTCTCTATTAAATATAACCTTCTTGACATACGAAAATTTAAAGCCATATAAATTTTCTGTTACCGATATCTAATCTCACTTTTATTAGTATTAAGTACAATTAAGAGCATCATTTTTTGTAGATTTTAAAACGATAATTATATTTACAAATCAATGTGATGAATTTATTTTTAAGGTCTTAAAATACATGTATTTTATTGGAACCAAACGATTTTTCTCTGTAATATTATGGACATAGTGCGGCATGGAGGAAAATTTTCTGGACATAATGCGGCAAGGGGAGCATTAGCTGGTTTTTTCTGGACAAGGTTCGGCACGGTGTGCCTTCCTGAGTATTTCAAATTCACACACACCATGCTACACCATGTACACGGTGTAGCTCAGAGCATTTCACACTGTTTGTTTTCCATCGTGCGACGGGGAACACTCGTGGCCTGTACCGTATATGTAATTCGTTGAAATTTTAAACTGAACAGCAAAGGGTATGATCAGATCTGCCTTATTATCACCACAGGTGAATCTCATCTTTGGAACGTCAGGGGTCCGGTGTCAGCCTGTTTGCAGGGAACAAGTTGACACAGGACCCCTGACATTGTGAAGACGGTAGCTCAATGGCTAAGACCATTGAGGCATGCTCTACGTATGAACAATTTCTAAAACGTGGCAAGCTATTGACAAACAAGTTGTTGAAACAAGGATATCAACAGTCACGTTTGAAGGTAATCTTTTTGCAAGTTTAACGTTCGATACAATGACCTTATCAGCACATACAACTTATAATTGAGTCAAATGCTGACTGACGTTTTTCATACTAACTGTTAGGCAATTATGTATACACTGAACTGTCTGCGGATTTTTCTTTTTTTTTCCGATCATAACAAGGAGCACACGGCGGGTGTGACCGGTCGGCAGGGGATGCTTACTTCTCCATGGCACCTGGTACCACCTCGAAATTTTGAGGTCCATATTTGCTCTGCTCCAAATTTTTATCGTTCCATTGGACTTTCCAGATTGAATGTTGTTTGTTATCTTCATATTACACTTTGAATGATAGATCAAGAGAAAATGTTTGCGATTGGCATATCCAAGAGCAGCAAGGGGTCGCGGATTATAAAGAATGCCCGAATTACCACCACCAGCAGCAGCATTCAATCTAAATCTTAAACTTTTTCTAATTTATTTATTTTCAAAACAAATTGTAATATTGGTAATTATAATTCAAATTATTTCTGATAGGATAAAATAGGAATCACCATATTTAAATATGCTGCACAATTGACCTGTAATGTATCTTATTTTTGAGAGGAGACTCGTTAAAGCTACAACTGTTTAATCACAAATCCTTTTATACAAATTATATTGAGTAGCCTGTTGCCTGACCTTAAACATTGGATTTTTTTGCGGGATGATATCATTTTTAAAATTGGATATACGGGCATAACGCATTTCAAGTAAAATCTTGATAGGATGGTCAATATTTTTTTTTATTATACTTTCATGTTAAATACTAAAATCTGATTGGTTTAGGCGCATTTAACAATTCGTAATGTTACCCTCAGCGTTAGCAACACACTTGACAACGGGTAACATTACGAAAATATCTCATGCGTTCAAATCATGCGCGTACGGTTCACCGTAGAATTCTCAAAACGTCGGTTGTGCGTTTGAAAGAAGCCGAATAAACGACGTCAATAAAAGCTTGCGTCCGATGTAGCTTACTTGAAAACTACAAACGAAAGACGAAGCATCCTTGCGAGTGCAAACTTTAGATGATAAAGGACTTTTTGAGTAGCAAACAAACAATAAAGAGGTTGGTTAATCTTTTCCGAAGCTTTCTTATTGAGAAAAATAGAAGCGGGGAGTGTGAAAGCTTTCTAAGCGTGAACTCAACGACGATCTCCGAATTTTTTTTTATGACATCCGAAATCAATAAGACGCGTCGGTTGACAATGGTTTTCCTTGGGATGTCAATTTCAACTGTTACCCTCAAAAACGTGCACTATTTATATATTATTTGTTTATAGCAATACACGTGAAGTATTATAACAAAAATTGCATTAAAAAATAAGTTATGGTATTTATAGTCTTGACAAAAGGCATATTCATGTTTAGCCAATCGCGTAGGATAAAAAAACAGAAGGAAAAAGATGCTTGGCCTGAATGCAGGATGAACTTTTCACCGCTGATAGGAAGCTTCATGTGGTTTACTATTTGTTTGTAGATAAATTAAGAACTTGTATAAAAGACAGTTTGGTCAAGAATGAGAGTGTAACCAATAAAATAATTTGATGGGAGTGCCCAGAGGTCACGCGTCTGTATAAATAATCTACGAGGAATAAAAACTAAAAATTATGCAAAAGGTTCAACATAAAATTTCAACTGCAATTAAAAAGTAAAGAATGTTTGAGGACGAAAAAAAGTGAATTTAAATCTAGATCAAAAATAAAAGTGATTATTGACGAAATAATTAAATATGTAGGGCATCTACGGGGGGTATAAATGCAGCTCAGTAAGACACATTTAACCAGTGGTTAGATTGTGTCTCTTTAAAGTTGCGTTTATACAGGTAAGATATTTTAATTTGTGGAATTTTTGTAAAATGGGTAAATTTTCAGATGGCTCATTTTATTTACAGATTAATATATTTTCTAATTTAATGGTAATGTTTATTATTTCTATAATGTTTATTATATTTTGTATTGTGTTTCTTTAGTAATTATAAATAATTAATAAATTTAATACACAGTGGTCAGCTGCATTGTGTTTCTTTATGGTTGCATTTATACAGGTTCAGGGTAACAGGGCCAATCCCCATAACCTGTGGAACGATATGGACATGAAGGTCGTTAATCCTTGGAACTGAAGCGCCATTCTGAGAAATAAAGAAACATAAACTAAAGAACTAACTCAAGGCCAGGGGATTGTAAGAGTTATCCTCCTTTGTTTAAAACCAATGCGCACAAAGATCCGGGTGTTGACAATGAAATCTTTGTGCAGCCAGCCAAATTATTGGCGATTTTTATTTTTATATAATATGAAGCATAATAATAACTAGTTCATTTTTATTTATTTTTTTATTTGATTGCCTTTGTGGTGTATATATTACTTTGATAATATTATTAATTAATAAATTACTTAGGGGATGATGATTTTCTAAGACAGATTGGTTTTCAAAATATAGAAAAACCGCTAGCTAAGGTGACGCTCATTTTCACTCTTTGATTTATAGAGTGGATCTTTATACAAACAGGCTTTGATTGATTTTTTGTTGTTTAACGTCCCTCTCGAGAATTTGTCACTCATATGAAGACGCCACCACTTGCCGGTGGAGAGCTGCAAATTTTGTCCTATACTCGGCACTTACGGCCATTGAGCAGTGAGGGATCTTTTTCGTGCCAGCACCTACTGCGACACGGGACCTCTGTTTATACGGTCTCATCCGAAGGACCGGTCTCCACGTCCCACAGTGGGATTCGAACCCGCGACGTAAGGATCAACTCCTTACTTCGCGACTCTAGAGCAGACGCTCTAACCACTGCGCCACGCGGGCAACAGGCTTTGATAATGACCTGCTAAAAATATTCAGCTTTTAATTTTTGTTATTAAACTGTATATTTTACCACTCAACCATTAATCAAATCAAACAGAGGTGAATTCCCTACGTGGTCACTGAACATTAATAAGAATAGTCATTTTATTTAATGGCATGGGCATTCATGAGCACAATAATGATAGACAAATAACATTTTTTCAACAAAGAATGATATCTGATAAATAGAAGAAATTAGCTCTACAGCATTATCATCATTATTATTTTCCTTATCATCATCATTACCATCTCTCTCTCTCTCTCTCTCTCTCTCTCTCTCTCTCTCTCTCTCTCTCTCTCTCTCAAAAATTTTTTTTTAAAATCTGTTTGCTTATTTACTTCCTGCTTCTTTTATAAATGGATTTCCAGATAATCCGGATCTTCCGTTGTGGAATCAACCAGGTCATAGGTATGTCTGTTTCTTTGTAATGTGGAATCAACATTGTTATACGTATATCTGTTATTTGTCGCTGTAATTCGATCATAATCATGTATATTTCCTACCATAAATAATGTCTTTCTGTTTAAATATTGAACATGGCTCTTCCTCCTAGTGTGTAAAATTCTCAGACATACAATTATAAGAGTTATAGCAAGAAACGTTGAAACACCGGAGATGATGAAAAATAGCGTCTTCCATATCCTGAAATCTAAAATATACAAACAAATAAAGTGATTTATCATCATTTTTGACATAAAGTATAAGTAAAGGTTACTTGCATTGTCTTTATATTTTTTAATGTGTTGAGGATCACGCTGAAGCAAAACTAAAGAAATAAACCACACCAAAATTCATGCACGATTAACGAAGATACTGGGGAACTTCTACTCCAATATCAAATCATAAAGTATAGCTATTGTTTTTAGTTTTGTTTGAAATAAGTTTAGTTAATATATTTTCATTATTTCTTTGTGTGTGGTTATATAAAGTAACGATACTAAGAATCGCCGGAAAGTCCCCGATTTAATCATCCAATTATGAGGAATCGACGGGTTATTCCAATTCTATCTACATCATATCTCAAGAAATGTTACTTTACTTGCTAATTTGGTCATTGAGATGCAGAAAAAAAACTTTTTTATAGATATAAAAATGTCGTTTTAAATTTAAAATGATTTCACTTTTTCCGACAGACAACGTTGTGGTAATAAATAATTGTTCCGATAAATGTAATTTAAGAAAGGGGTATTTACCCTCCTTTGCTATACTGAAGCTTTACATCCTCCCATCCCATTAAATCTTAAATGTTAATCAGAATAGAGCCATATAAAGTGACGGGATAAGCAATTTTTCAGCGTCCTGTTGTATTCACCACATCATCGCTTACACGTTTTTTTCAAACATACGTTCATTCCAAGTAAAGGATTTGGTAAAGGAAAAATGTAGTAAGTTCTTCTTGTTTATGGTAATGTATTATAATACCACTTTAAAAAATATTAAAGCATATAAAAATATTTTAAAAATAAGCAAAACTTGCTCAAAATGAGTGATTTTTCGGAATACAGTCGATCAGAAGCATGTGTTGATTTTGAAAATGCAACGTAGTTATGCTAAAGTAAGGAGTATTTAAGATAAACTTTGATTCAATTTAGTAATATCTAAAAACTTTTCAATAATTTATTTTTGGTTCTTATAATATTAAATGCAAGGAAAACGATATTTTGTGAAGGAAGGTCAATTTATTCAGTAAGATTTTTTTCTTTTTCACAATGCTTATTTAATCTAGAATAAGACTTTGTTAGTTCCACTGATTTATATGATCAAAATAGAGGAAAATCATAAGTGATATATGTGTTTGACGCAATATTACAGATGCCAAAAGTGCATATTAAACGCACCACAGCGCCCAAAGAAACAATTTGACCTCCATCGTTTAATTTTAATTATGAATCTTGATACTTATATACTTTAAAAAAAATCTCCAGACTCTTAACAAGATCAATTCTCCTCAAACTTGATATACAAATTCCAGTTACGTTCAAAACATCACAAATATTGTCCATCCCTTAAGTACATTGTATATTCGTCTCTGTTTCAACTTGTCATACTGGTCATTTATGTGCTAAACTCTATACCTTTGTGAAGGTCTCCTATCATTCAAATTGTTCATGTTGGAAAGATTCTTTTTACCACATATTCTTGTTACAATGTTTAATTTTTTTTAATCATGGATGAAAATTCATCGGGTTGACCTTCGAGATCACTCTCAAGGGAGATAATACAGAGGGAAAAATCACAAGAAAACAAATTATTATACAAGATGTAACAATATTAATTATACCGTCACACTTAGATCCATTCCAATTACCATGACTTTCACCAGGACACGTTCCATTCACCTTATCACAGTATGTCCCATTTTCACAATATCCGCACCTGCCTTCGCATTTTAGTCCATAATATCCGTTTTTGCATTCTTTGTAAGAAAAAACAAATTCAACTAAATTTCCCGTCACTATAGTTATTTCTTAATCAATCCTTCTTTATTTGATATATATATATATATATATATATATATATATATATATATATATATATATATATATATATATATATATATATATATATATATTACTTTTTAATCATTACCCATTATTTGCGATAAACCAAATAAAAATATATGTTAGAGAATTTTTTACCCTTAACACAGGTTAATCTTAACTTAGTTCTTTACATCATGCTTAACCTAATTCACCAGAGTTTCTTTGTAATCGTTTTCTGAGAAAAAAAAAAGTTGATAGTTAAAGAATTATAATTAAATAAGGAACCTTCACTATAATGTTGAAAGTACACTGTAATATGAAAAATAAGCTATATAGATTTGATGTAACTTGTCGACTATTATGAATTTTAAAAGAGACATTCCAAGATTACAGTTTCAAAAACTGGGATATTCTTAATTAGAAAATGCCAAAACTATACATGTCCATTGCAGTGTATGTCGTGACATCTTTGTCATTAAGTACATGTATGATAGATAAAACAGGATTATGACATAACTTGTAAAATTCATGGATACATTTCCTCTCATGATTCATTCTTACAAATCAGCTGAAAACCAGTCTTACCATTACACATTAATCCATCCCATTGATCCTCACAACCATCTGGACATATTCCGGAGGAAGTATTACAGTATGTCCCATTTCCACAGTTTCCACAGAAGTTTTCACAGGTCTGTCCATAAAATCCTGCTACACAATCTGAGGAAAAAGGGAATATATTGGGAACAAAAGATATGAAAAAGAATTCTCTTTTGAATCACAGTTTGTTCATAATTCATTAGCTTCATTCTTGCTTAACAGAGATAACATACTACTACGATGTCAGTATAGAAACTGCAATTATATTATGAAATTTTGATCAATAAGAAGATATATATGTGCTTGTAAAATATGATCTAGTAGGGTATAATAGAAACATCTTTAGATAGAACAATTAAAATAGATTGGGCTTAATAACATGAAAATCTCAAGATGATATGAATCAACAAAATTAGACAAAATTTTAAAATCAATGATTAAAACAGTTTAAATCAGTCATTTTACCGTCACATGAAGAGCCATTCCAATGATCCTGACATCCTTGTGAACATATTCCTGTTACGTTATCACAAAAGCTTCCGTTACTACATTTGCCACAGTTTAATTCACAGGCTGCTCCATAAAATCCATCAGGGCACGCTGACAGAAAGATGTATTACATTAATTTAACATGTACATTAATGTACTATGTATAAGTTCGACGGAATAAAAAACATATTGAGGCGTGCCTCTTACATGACTGCAAATGTAATTCTCTTCTTGTCATTTATCTAACCCGCATCTTTCTAAATGGATATGTATACATTTTTACCACTTTATTTATTCTGTTTTCCAACATCGACAAGAAAGGCAATAATATTAATGATCTAATTCAACATGTTTATTCATAACTTTATGCAGATTAAACCGAATAAAAGACACTGTATAATTCTGTTTACTTTCTTTTGAAATAGGAATTTGTATTAAACTGAACAGAGATCAAATTATTTAGCAATAACAACAGCTGTAGCAAAACGGTGCAAATCACAGTTACCCTTGGATTTCAGTAAGGCGCATCTTTCTTGACACTATATAATTAGCGTCTTTAAAACGGTGACTTAGATTCTCATTATTTTTAGCTTATCAATATTCAACACATACCACAAACAAGTACGAGGGCCATTCAAAAATTACACGGACTATGTTATTATTTACTCTTACAGACGTCATATAGAATTGATATTTCACAGGAACATATTTCCTAAAGATTCCAATTATTTTTTGGTAAAATTTTTTGATTTTATTTAATATCTCATAAAATTATTGCTGTTTTGATACTGCTGATGGTGATGCACGGAGCACGGCAAAAATGTTGAAAAACAAACGCCGTATCCAAAATTTTATAGTTATTTTCCATATTTCATGATATTATACAATAATTTTCTCTTAAATTTCTTTTTATTACAATAATTTTCTCTTAAATTTCTTTTTATTGTTTTATTATTAAGTCTTTAGATTTCTGACGTAATATTTGAATTACTAACAGAAATATTGTAATTTTTCTCCGATGTGACCCCTATGAAATCAACTGCAAAAATGACGTTTCGTGATTTGACGGAGCAGCGCACTTTTATCAGATCATGAATCATGCTGGAAAAACGCCAATAGACACCCAAAATAATCCTAATGAAACATGTTATAAACCAGCGGAATATCCGACACATCTCTACAAAATGTAAAAAAAGAATTTTAGATTGTTAGACCGTAGCCAAAAGGCAATCCGGGAGGGATGGAAGAAGTTCATCGACAAAACACTGATCTGGACTGTTAAGAATGTAATTGAGATCGAATAACGTTAAACTTTACTTCAGAAATATCTGCAGTTTTGGTGTTTAACACAAACTAAAACAAACAATAATAGTTTTATAGTTTTTAAGCTGAATCGGAAATGGTATATGGATGTTTATTCTGAGTGGATAAGGTAACCCAAACTATACAATATCAAATACTAAGGGAAAATATTGAGAAAATGAAAGCTCCTATTTTTTTAAACGCCCGAGACGTTGAAGGTTTTACTGCGCCGTGACTTCATAAGATGTCCTGTTAAATCACTTGAAATTGATACCAATTTACAGAATTTGATATAAAATTTTGATGATCATATATAAAAAGATTCCTTTAAATTATTTATGACTTTTTGCTTGATTATGTCGTCAAATGTATTTTCTGTGCAACAAGTCCGCGTAATTTTTGAACGGCCCTCGTAGAAGGAGAGTTTGATTTATTTTGTATTGTTTCATACAAGTAATGAAAGAAAACGCGAAAATGTGGAGAGCTGATAACTTCTTTCCGATTTGTCTAGTTTGCAAAACTAAACACGAGCAAAATTTTGTTTCTTCAATGACATTGATTAAACTTTCATTTTTTCGGTGGCAATAAACAGTTCCTCGCATGGGAAAAGTTACGATAGGAATATAATAGAATCCTGCATAGTAGGTGTAAATTTGGATGGTCAGCAGATACCAAAAAGTACCGTAGATTGTGCAGGTTTCAGGCCCAAGGCAATTTTTTTTTATTTAAGGAAAGGGGGTTGTGGTGGGGGCAGTCTCAAAAAAAAAAAAAAAAAGACAAAAAGAGAGAGACTCCATAACCTAGCCAGGTCTAAGTAAAAACACTTAAAATAGTATACATTAAGAGGAAAAAAACAAGTGAAGATAACAAATAATTTTATGAAAAAGAAATTAAAATGAAAACAATTAAAAATAACAAACCTTTGCACATCAGTCCATCCCAATGATTCTCACAGCCGTCTGGACATATACCGGTGGATGTATTACAGTGTGTTCCCTTTTTACAGCTTCCACATGTTTTTTCACATGTTTGCCCATAAAACCCTTCTTCACATGCTTATGTTTAGGAGAAAAAACAAATGGTTAACATTGAAAAAAAGCATCTATAATAAGAAATTCATTGATTTGGTGATACATATATTTCGATACTCTTTTTTTGAAAGTTGTTTATAATTCAGTGAATGCGTAGTTGCATTTCAGACATAATAAGAAGAGCTCTAAAACCCCAGTTTCATTTCCTAGAGTGATTAAGATATAAAAAATGATTAAAATATTATATCTGACAATTTACAGAAGAATTTTATTAATCTGCGTTGTATCAAAAAATATATTTGAAATAAAAGGTATTAAAATATTCTGGAATAAGCATTCTAAATTTTAAAAAAAAGTGAACAAATTCCAAATATTCTTTTTTGAGCACACTTATAAACTCATAAAACTGATAATTTTACCGTCACACAGAAATCCAGTCCAATGATCCTGACATCCTTCTGGACATATTCCCGTTATATTATCACAGAAGGTTCCGATGCTACATTTGCCACAGTTTAATTCACAGCTTTGTCCATAATATCCTTTTTTGCAAACTGAAATAAAGAATAATGAGATTCAGTAGTTGTTTTAATGGAGGTAAATAACTTTCAGCTGATGTTATCATGCTTTGACGGTCTATAAAAAGTCTTGCAGTTAATATTCCCAGCAGTGACAAATATCTATTCAAGAAATGTAGGTTTTCCAATTTTCTTTGCATAATTGTCTGAATTTTGTATGTCCAAAATGTTCTGTTAAGTGGAGAAAGTACTTTTTTTTTTTTTTTTTTTTTTTTTTTTTTACAATTTTTACCTCCATAACAGTAACTATCTAGAATTGAAAAAAAAGTTTAAATGATTTTGAAAAATGATTGGAATAAACCTAGGCCTGAATCTATTCTACCTGCGAATGTTTCCACATAAGTTACATCTTTCATGTCCAAACGTCTGTCAAGTAAAGGAAAAAAGATTTTTTCAAAAATTTTAATGCCGAAACAGTAACTGGCCAGAATTGAAAAAAAATCCTTTGGGCAATTGATTTTTAACAAAGGTTTAAATAAATCTGACTTTACACTACCTGCAAATGTTTCTACATAAGTTTGATCTATTATCATTGAGTGGTTCTTGAGAAGATATAAAAAAAGTGTCATTAATTGTTCCCTTATTCGTTATTTTCTCCCTTCTGAAGAAGGCGAGCCCTTCATTTGAGAAAAAAAATGATGACAACGTTCTTTTCTACATACAGATAATTTCTTCAAGGCAAAGAACTAAGAAAAGGAAGTACATGTACCACCCAGTGTATATTTACTTTATTCCTGTAAAGCTGACACAGTTAGATAGGCCACTTAGGTCTGCCATTCGAAAGAAATAATACATTAATACATGAATTTTTAAAACGGCACTCAGGGCCATAAAGCAGTGAGGGATTTTTTTTCGTGCCAGCACCTACTGCTACATCGGGGCTAAGTTTATACAGTCTCATACGAAAGACCGATCTCCACCTCCCTCAGTAGGAGTCGAACCCGCGACGTAATGATCAACTCCTTACACCGCGAAAGAAGTACAAACGCTCTAGGTACTGCGCCACGCGGACAACGTGCTATTGTAAAAATATGTTAATATAAGTAGCGCAGGGAAGCCTCTATACGAATTGGTTATATGAAGTACACTGTTGTATGAAAACGACAACTTAATTAAATACCCTTGTGCAGAGGTCTAATCTCATTGTTAATTTTTATTTACGTCCCTTTGCTTAGCTTTATGCTATCAACCGTTTTCAATATTCCCTGAACTCAGGTTGTGTATTAATTTGTAAACTGTAATAATATACTGAAACGCAAAAGAAACGCAACAAGCAGTTATCTGCAAATATTTGAATTTTTTATCTAATGATTTTCAAAAATGAATACTCTAACGTAAAACTTGGTTTGAAAACATCAGAGATTTGATAAAAATATTAAATGATTATCTTTTAACTTTAGAAAGTAACACATGATTGTTAAAACACCCCCACCCCGGCCATTCAGTTACAGCGTACAAGACTGCCATACACAACAGTTGCAGCTTGATTTCTACGATGCAATAGATTCATCAATCTCGAGATCTGAGCGAAAGAAATATTCTTTGCCATTTTAAATGTTTTTTCAAATGATGAGGTCGAATTTTCTCTAGCCAAGCGCAGTGTAGTAACCCTTGGACTTCCGGTCCAAGGACTGCCATTCACGCTAATGATACATAAGAGCCTGTTAAGGCGTGATGTGGGTCATATTTGCATCTACAATTCTCCATCACCTTTATTTTGAGATTTTCCAGCAAGAGCAATGGAAATGCGTACTTAAGTCATTTTCAGGAAGCCTTGGCATCGCTTACGGAAAAGAAAGGGATTTTATTTTTCGGAACATTGCTGCATTACTTATGGTGAACAGATATAAATCATTAAAACCCCATATTATTGCCAAATGTTTTGTTAAACATGCAATTTTTGATTTCTGTTCAGCAGACTCAAACGTAACGTCCCGTAATGGTATAAAAATCATCCAACCCTTAAATTACCGATATTTACAAAGTTGTAGATGTTCTTACTTTTTAAATACAAAATTATATCCTATATGTAATATTTCCCCCTAAAATATGATGTTGCGTTTCTTTTGCGTTTCAGTATAATAAGTACAAAATCTGTTTGACTATTTTTTTTTTCTATTTCCACTGTTTCATCACCCCTTACGGCGATTCTAGTTTGGGTCTCAGACATTTTAGTATATCCCTATTATGTCACATTGTGCTAGATGTACGTCATATATTTCTTAATGTTTCATGCATAGTAAGGTATAATGTACAGATAGTTTCAAAGAATTTTAGTAAAGTAAAGGGGGGGGGGGACATGAAACTAGTTTAGAAAAAGAAATACTTTTATTTTTTTCTTGAAGACTCAAATATATGAAACTACGTTTATATATATATTAAAACAGAATGTATTAGATGCCTCTGGCGTAATCGGTAGCACGTCGGACTGACAATCTCGGGATCGTAAGCTCGATCCCCGACGTGGGCCCTGTGGGATTTTCTTCAGAAAAAGAAGTCATGCACTATTTTGGCATGGTACATGCAAAACACAATACTATTGTCATACTTTTGCTGACTGTTTCATGCAAACGACAATTTAAATAAATTCCGGTATGCATGCAGAGGAATAAATTTCATTTACGTTCCTTTACTGAGCTTTATACGATCAAGCGTTTTCAATATTCCCTTGACTTAGTTTGTGTATTGACTTGTAAATTGTAACTAGTGCTAATTGTAACGGGAACCGTTACAGATGTTCCCCAAACGGCTCCCCAATCCCTTATGATGTCCCATTCTCTACAAGCTTTAATAAATTAGACAATACTTTTGTAATATAGATGGACACTTTATTTTTAAGGGTATTTCATTGGAAAACTACTCCGATTTAGCCATATGGGTATTAGCCAATCAAATTTCAGCGCATATGCTTGCACATTTTTTCTACATTTTTTACATTAATTTTCTTATAGTGTCTCACAATACATACATTTGTGATAAATATTAAAGAATCTGATTGAAAAATAAGAGAGATGTACCCCTTTAAGTATTAGCCAATCAGAATTCAGCATACGCGCATGCATGGCCTTGCATTCAATTTTGATAGTATTATAATGTAGGAGCTCTATATGCCTATCCATGTTGTAAATTTCATCCTGTTTTGTTGAAAACCAAGGGAGTTATAGACATTTAAAGTTTCAACCAATCAGATTGCAGCACACCTGCATGCGCGTGTTTTCAAGAAATTTCCTATATAACATGTTGTAGCACCTTATAATATATACTTATATTCTAAATTTCAAAGTATTTTGTCAAAAAACAAGGAAATTATTGAGATTTTTGTATCAGCCAATCAGAGAAGAGCGCACGTGCATGCGCGTGAGTTCACGCTTATTTGACCATCTTATCTTGTCTAGACTACTAATATATCTTTATATTTTGAGTTTCAAAGCAATTCATCAAGAAATATAAAAGTTACGGCTTCATCAAGTATATCAGTCATTTCACTCGTTGCACGCGCGCGCACGTGCATGCACGTGCGCGCAAAATGACCTTCGTTCCGAACACCTACACAACATGCCTATTAACCCTAAAAAGGTTTCATGTTAATCGGATGAGTGGTTCTATGAGAACACTCCTGGACAAAAAAGTACCGGAGAAGAAAGTAGAAAAAAAGAATAATAATAATAATAAGAAGAAGAAACAGAGTAAAAACAATATGTTCCCAAACTTCGTTTGGGGAACATAATAATAATAAGTACAAAACTTGTTTTAATATTCTTTTTTCCATTTCCACTGTTAAGCTGTTTCATCACCCTTACTGAGATTCTTGTTTGGGTCTCAAACGTTAGTACACCCCCATTATGGCGTCACATTGTGCCACATGTAGGTCATTTTTTGTTTCATGCGGTTTAGTATAATGTACACATAGATTCAAAGAATTTTAGCTGAGTAAAGGGGGGGGGGGGTGAAACATGAAACTTTTTGTAGAAAAGAATATTTTGTTAATTTTTTTCTTTAAGTGTCAAATATATGAAACTACGTTTATGTACATAAAATAGATTGTATAAGACAACCACGTCTGTGGCGTTATCAGTAGCGCGTCGGACTGACAATCTCGGGGTGGTGAGTTGTATCCTCGACATGGGCGATGTCGAATTTTCTTCAGAAAAAGCCGTGCACTATTTCGGCATAGTATGCTTACGCTATATAAATCTTAAGAACACTATGTGAAAATAGCTGGATATTTATGATATAGAGACACACTGACAGGAAGCATAATGATTTTCAAAAAAAAAAACAGAGGCCATTAATTAGAAAAGGTTAAATCATTTTACCAACACACAAGGAACCATTAAAATTATCCTGACACGTTTGGGAAAAATTCTTATTATATTATCGTCAACAGTTCCGATGCTATACTTGCCGCAATTGAATTCAAAGGCTGCTCCATGAATCCATCGGGGCACGCTGACAGGAAGGACGATTACATTCATTAACATGTACTTTTGGAGGATAAATAGAATCTACCCAACCAAAAAATATTTTTATGCATGCCTCTTACAAGATTGCAATTATAATCCCCTTTATATCAATTATCTATTCTGCATCCTTCCTAATTGTTATAACAACGTTTCTGCCACTGTATTCGTGTTCTTTTCGAAACGCAGGTGTAAAGACGAATATTGATTCCCGTAGAAAATAACCTATCAGCCGTAGAAAAATGTATTTGTATTTATAAAAAAGGGTAAGTTTTCTACATGTGCAACTTGAAACCCCTACCCCAAGTTGAAAAATAACTCCCATCCCAATAGAGGAATACAAAGTTTAAAAAAAGTTGATTGATGCCAAGGTCTGGGTCTCAACGTTTAAATCTCTTGCGTTTTCCGTATTGAACAGTTGACGAACACCCAATTAAAATGTAATATTACAGCTTTACATTTGTTTCTATCTATTAGACCTATTGTTTCTTGGCAAACAATTAAAGCCTCACAAAAGGTACGTCACTGTTGCATTTGGTTAAAAGTATTACATGTATCTTTATCTTTCTTAATCATCCGTTCTTTTTTGAATATTGTACCGATTTCAGACGTTTTAGCCAACTAACAAATAAAGAAAATGAAAAATGACTTCTAATTCGATTTTTTCAACGCCATGTTTTAACATGTCTACGTTAGGGTCGGGATAAGGATGTCTGATCAAGTTTAATGTTTTTATTGACTCCATTCTTTTGCATTTTCTGGTTTCATTGAAGTTCAACTTACATTTTATGTTAAATGTTCTTGCATCTCCCCCTTTGTTGGCCACATACACTGATGAAAAGGTACCAAAAATATCTAAAACATCACGTAATTCCTCTTATTCAAATTGAAGAGACATTTGATATGTGTCCGAGAATTACGTATGTAGACTGTTAAAATTATTGGCTTAAAAGTCACTCAAACGCAATTTGCTTTAAAGGTAGATAGACATTATCTCTCTTAATACCCCCCTCTCCCTTCTCTCTCTAATCTCTCTGGAATAATTATGGAAAATTTAAAGAAAATGTCTTGAAAAAAAATGATACATTTGTCAAATCAATATGGAAGACAAGGTTGCCATCGATTAACATTTGTCATTAAAAACAAATCGTTTTAATCGAAAGATTTAATAAAACCAACATATCATCGCCATAAGTTGCATTTGTATAGTGTAAAGTTGCCGATTTGCATGCATGGTTATGCAATCAGGTCGCATTTCTTTCAAAACACATTCCTTCATAACCTCTCTTACAATAATTTGACCGGTCACGGTAGCCTAGTGGTAGTGCGCTCGCTTCGTGATCGGTATGCAAAGGCTTCGATTCTCGTTTACCGGGCCGCGACAAATCTAAGACGTACACATAGGTAGTAACAGTTCCTTCGCAAAGCGCCCAACACTAGATATAGAAGTTACGGGTCTTTCTGATGAGACCTTAAAAACCGAGGTCCCGTATCACGGAAGGCGTTGGCAGGATAAAGAACATTCACTTCTCAATGGCCCTGAGTGTCGAGTATAGGTCTATATTTGAAGCCCTTCAACGGCATAAAGTGGAAAATTCTCGAATGGGACGTTAAACAACCATCAATCAATCAATGAAACATTGTTTTAAAAAAGAAGATGAATAAAAATTACAAATGACAAACCTTTGCATATCAGTCCATCCCAATGATTTTTACAGCCGTCTGGACATATTCCGGTGGATGCATTACAGTATGTTCCCGTTTTACAGTTTCCACATGTGTTTTCACATGTTTGCCCATAAAACCCAGCTCCACATTCTGATGTTTAAGAAAAACATATGATTATACCGACAAAAAATAAGTTCATTTTGGTGATATTTGGATAATTCTTTTCGAAAGTCATTCATAATTGAGTGAATGCATACTTATACTTCAAAGACCAAATAAAACTAACTTTAACAATCCAGTTTCATCTGCTTGAAACATTAAAACCTATTATGGGATAATACCTATAATGGGAGCTTACAGAAAAAAAACAAAACAAACTTATCTGCCTTTAACTAAAAGGCTTTCTTTTTGAGAGAAAACATACTGAACTATTACGGAATAAGCACTATTCCGGAATAAGCATTCTTAATCTAAGAAAGGGGTTAACAAATTCCAAAAATTCTTTTTAAACACATTATGAACTGATAAACACAAATTATTTTTACCGTCACAGAGAGAACCATTCCAACGATCCTGACATTCTTCTGGACATATCCCCGTTATATTATCACAGAAGGTTCCGATGCTACATTTGCCACAGTTTAATTCACAGCTTTGTCCATAATATCCTTTTTTGCAAACTGAAATAAAGAATAATGAGCTTCTGTAGTTGTAATAATGGAGGTAAATAACTTTCAGCTGATGTTATCATGCTTTGACGGTCTATAAAAAGTCTTGCAGTTAATATTCCCATCATTGACATTTATCTATTCAAAAAATGTAGGTTTTCCAATTCTCTTTGCATAAGTTCTGAATTTTCTAAGTCCAGACTTTGGTCAAGTGAAGAAAAAAGGGATTTTTTACCAGGATTTTTGACTCAAAACAGAAACTAGCTAAAATTGAAAACAAAAGGTCGGTTGGTCCATTGATTGTGAGCAATGATTTGAACCAACCTGAATTTACAGTACGTGCAAATGTTTCCACATGTTTCATCTTTTATAACCGACCAGTTTTTGAGAAGATTTTGATTGATTGATTGATTGATTGTATGTTGTTTTACGTCCCATTCGAGAATTTTTCACTCATATAGAGACGTCACCATATACCGGTGAAGGGCTTCAAATTTTGACCTTTACTCGGCACTCAGGGCCATTGAGCAGTGAGGGATCTTTATCGTGCCAACGCCTGCCGTGACACGGGGCCTCGGTTTTTAAGGTCTCATCCGAAGGACCCGCAACTTTCACTTCAAAGTGCCGAGCGCATGGCGAAAGAACAGTTGCTACCCATTTTATCGACTTGGGTCTGTCGCGGCCGAGATTCGAACTCACGACCTCCCGATCACGGAGCGAGCGCTCTACCGACTGAGCTACCGTGAACGGTGAGAAGATTTTGAAAAGATGTCATAAATTTTCCACTTACTCGTTTTTTTTCCCCATTTGGAGAAGGCGGGACCTTCATCTGAACAAGCTTGAATCTCTTTTACTCCAGGATACTTTTTGCAAGTTTGGCTGAAATTGGTTCAGTGGTTCTTGAGAAGAATCAAGAATGTGAAAAGTTAACACACAGACATACAATTATACAGACAGCTAGACGAATAGACGGCGTCGGAAGAAATATATTCAGAAAAACTCACTTGAGCCCATGGCTCACGTGAGCTAAGATAACATTATAAGCAGAATAAAATATGAAGATAACGAACAGTACGGTATTCAGTCTCGAAAGTTCAATGAAACATGACAAGGGTATATTATACGGAAGTCATTTTTCATCCTCCAGGGTCAAAAGTTCTAATGAACATAATGTTTTTTATACGTTGAAAGGACTTCTTATTGTTATTCTATGGGGGATTATTACCGGTATTCACCAAACAGCAGGGATAACCTCTGATGACAAAGTTCTCCCTTACACTTTATATAGAGATGATTGCCCGAGCCCAACGTCCTAAGGCTATTAAACACATTGAGTTGCTCCTAGAAGCAAGTGATAAATGTTCTGATCTAGTAGCAGATAAGACATCAAATAACTGTTTTATTACCTTATATTATACTGAGCATGTGGACATTGTCAGTCCAATAGATTGCAAACTATTTTCTGGTAGTTAATAGATCACTATTTATTATTTATTTATAGATTGTTAATAGAAATAACAAACTATTGACTGACAGTTAATAGGTGGTCAGTCCGAATTTCGCAAACTATTGACTGAGAGTCAATAGATGGCCGTTCCAAAATTCGCAAACTATTATTTGCGGACTAAAAGATCACTCTAAAAATACTCAAATAGTTAAGAGAAATGAATATGGAGACCAAAAAATTAAAAATACAAAAATAACATATTGAATAAAACAATAAAATATGATGTATAATTAAATAATGTGATTTATTGAACCAAGAATGTAAAGCTTTGGCCTTGCAAGTCTCTTTCTTCTTCTAAAACGAAAGCAAGAGATAGACTTCTTTCTAAAGGTGTGCAATAACTTTGTTTTGTATTTTTCTTTGTTACACTGTGTAATAACGTTATTTGTAGTTTTATTTTATTCATTTGGGTATTTGAGAGCAGGGCATACGTTTTCAAAACATTTTAAGGGTAAGGTGTACATATATTTTCAGAAAATACATTTATTTCATTGAAAAAAATAACTTTAATAAGGAAGACATATATTACATGTATTTATGTGATGGACTTACAGACTTATTAACATAATAGTGTTTGTTTTCGAATCTTGTGTGTGTATGTTTCATGTGTGTTATAATATGTATATTCATTATTTTAACACACTTACCATTACACTTTAATGTATTCCAATTACCCTGACATCCCTCCGGACAGATTCCATTTGTTTTATTACAGCGTACATTGTTTTTGCAGAAACCACACCTTTGTATACAATCGTTTCCATAATAGCCATCTACACATTCTACAGGATATTTAAAATGTACAGATACTGTAATTATTTGAACTTATACATCAAAGAAGAAATAGTAAGAACAGTGTAATCAAAGTCCAAGTGCATGTTTTACATCAAACCATAAGATCATAACGGTGTAATACAAATATTACTTCAGCTTTATTGAGGTCATATTAAATCTGCAATGAGGAAGCTGATTAGTACATGAAAGAAAGAATATACTATGAATTTTGCAGGCAATGAATACGTTTTTATTGAAAAGTTACAATACCGATTTCACTTATTTTCTTTAGGTGATAAAGGTACAGGGGAATGAATACTTTTTTTTAAAAGTTACAATACCAATTTCATTACCATCTTTAGGTGATAAAGGTACAGAGATATTTGCTTTAAAAACAAAACAAAAACAATTTCCTATTCGGATTTTCAAATAGAGAATGACATATATGTTCTTTAATTTCAGATGCAATAATTTAAAATTGCAATACTTTTCACAAAACCCTTTTAAAAATCAGATTTTCTAAGTTTTTGAAGGGAAGAAAAAAAAATTAGAGACGGGTTATGCATTTCCAAATATAATAGTGTTCCACTGTGCTACTAAGGACTGATATGTGCTTCAAAATATTTGATACTTGAAACTTTTGCATCCATTTTGGAACTACGAGAAAATTCATTCACTTGATATATATTTTACCTGAACAATCAGAAGATTCAATGACTGTATTACTGCATCCATAGATACAAGAACCATTAAAAGCTTCACAATGTCTATCACGACATTTTGGATCACAGGAAGTGCAGTTTTCTCCGTAATGTTGAGATGGGCAACCTAAATTGAAACATAAAGTATTAAAGGATATGCATTAATTTTGTAGCAACAACGCGTATGAAAGCGTTAATTTGATTGTCTTTTAAGCTAGGCTAAGGACGCCCGTGAAATATACGCCTCAATATATTTAGAGAAAATGAATACAATTTTAATATTTCTTTAACAGCATTAGTTTTGATGAATGTGTATTGTGGTGTATGAACTTGTATATATCGGGTCTCTGCTGAGATCGGCCAAAGCGACATCGCTTATATCAGCTGTTTGTCACCTGACAGGTCTAAAATTAGAATATATATGTATTGCTAAAAAGATAGTAAAAGTTCAACGATGTACGGGCATCTTTCCGCTTTAAATTTATTCTGTTTTGTTTTAAGAAAAATTCCTTACAATGAAAAGTGCTAGGAGCAACTTCCTCATCCTCGGGAATTGTGTAAAATTTAGCCGTCTTTCTATAAACTCCAGACATAGATGTAATACGTACAGTTATAATGTTACATTACGGAATATATAAACAATGCACTACCAGCTCCGAGCACTTTTCAGAACATTAGGTTTAATAGCTATACGTGTTGAAAAATTCAGAATTGATAGTGAAGCGGATATCGTTGAACTTTGGTATTTTCGAGGGACTGGACCCCTCATTCTAGCACCTTACTGTACAAGTGCGCTCCCTATGGCTAGATTTATAAAGTCTACATATTATCAATTTAGTTTGACAATAAAATGCAGATTAATATATTTAAGAATATGTCTTTATTTTGGTCCAATTAGGCTTGTTTAGTATTTATTCTTATTTCTACAAACTACGATAATAGCTTAACCACGCCTCAAGGAAAGAGAAACTGAGTGTCAAATTAGGAAATGACGTCATCTCAATAAGTACAGCGTGATCAAGTTGGCTCTCATTCTATATTAGCGAAGTGCTATTTGGCAAGATAAATTGCACATTCATTTATCTTTATAATATTTTTAGAAACGAAAGTATTCGAGTGTATTTTAAAAATAACATATACTATTTATTCGTGGAGATTCATTTGTATTGTTTTAACGTGACGTCATAATAGCTTTCCCGAACCTCTGCATAGGTTAACGTAAATATGGGAGTCCTTAATCTAGCTGTGAAATCAGTTCATTTTTCATCGTCATTCATTTTATTCAATCATATAGATATATCTGAAATAAAACATACCCATGACCTTTACTTCACAGATTTCAATGGTTGCGAATGCAGGTTCATACCCTGCACAGGATGTGTTGACAGGGGGTTCCTTTGAGTTATACAAAGCTATCCCTTGAGACTCTCTGTTAACAGTCACAGTTGTCACACGTTCCAGACAGGTAGAGGTATTGTGAATGAACACTTTATGTTGAAATGCGTTTGATGGAGGAATATATGATGAGTCGTTGAAAACAAAAACAGAAAATCCCACATGTCGATTAACAGCTGAAATGAATGTAATAATAATTAAAAAAATCAATTGTATTTACATTTCTGGAAGTTCATTTAATATATTAGAAAACAGTTTAAAACAGGCAACAGAAACGGTTTATTTTCCTTTGTAGATGATACTATTATTTATTATATATTTTTAATATAAGACAAGATTTTTGCATCCCTGAAATGAACACAGGCACGCACCCTGTATTAAACACCTTGTATCAACACCCTTTATTTCACCCTTTATCACACCCTTTCCTGAACATCTCTGTATTTTTCATTCGAAGTACCACGGATATTTGTTTATGAAGTTTATTTAAATTGTAATTTTATTTCATCAGATATTTAATGTTGTTCAAAATATTGTTTCTTCTTAATTTGTAATCATTTCATTTCTTCTGACTTAATACAATGCCTTTGAGAAAAAAAAAAAGATGAGAAACGGAAATTCAACAAAAACAGAAAACATTCAAATTATTAAAAATTCAGTAACTAATTTACAAGTTTATAAATGATTTTAAGATACTATTTTCAAATATATAATAAAAACAACAATACATGACAAAATCTTCATCACACCCCGGATTAACCCTCGACCAATTATCAGCCTTCTGGCCTTCGGCCCTCGGCCAGTTATTGGAGACGCGGTTAGATATGGGGTTTGATACAGATTTTGCCATGTTTTATTCTCTTTGTATTTTAATGAGGTAAAAATAACGCAAGTCATCTTCCAGGAAAAAGAATTGAAGAAACGAGAAAACCTCTCATCAAAGTATATGAGTAGCTGATATGGAATGAACTTTAAAAGACTGCCCAAAACTGGTAGTCTAATATTGTTTATTGAATTCAGACGTGTGATTACTTTTATTTTTATTCCAGTTATGTGAATTATATCGGTTAAAATCAACAAATTCTTTGGATTAGATATACATTAGTAGATTTAATACATATCTAAACAAATAAAGGTTTTACGATATACTTCAACATAGTTCTTTTCCATGAATATATTTTATCTAGTGACTGCATGCACGATTGAAACTGCTACAGAGGGTGTCTTGATGTGGCAGGTTCATTTTTTTCGGGGGGTGGGGTGGGGTTGTATATTGTTGTATGTAACTTTTAATGCACAATAGTGCCTTATTATTCTTCATTTTATACCTTATTGATAATGTGAGCTTGTATTATTTTTATTTGTAGATCATTGCTTATTGGATAAGTCTTTTATTTGATACATAAACAATAAAGAACCTTTAAGAAAAAAGATGAATTTTGTAGTTGTGCAGCACAGTGAGGGTGCCAAATGGATATATCGGCATTTTTTCAAATAAAAAAAATACATTTTTTAAAAGTATGGCCCATTATTTTGGGGTCTTAAGTGATATCAAAAAGTGATATGTGGTTCAAAACTACATGTTTAGGACGGTTAGATTTTTTATTTAGATTTATCATGTGATGTGGCAGTCATGTGATTTAAGCATATATACTTGCAGTATTGAAGTCATCTATAAATTCCTATATTCTCTAACAAAAGAAATACTAAGTTATCTATAGTTAACTATAGTAAATCAACGTTTCAAAGTTATCATTATAGAAAATCAAAGTTTTCATAGTGTCAAAGTTATCACTATAGTAAATCACTTTAGTTAATCCATGTTTTCATAGTGAACACTATAGTACATCACAGTTTTCATTGTGATCACTATACTAAATCAACATTTTCATAATGATCACTATAGTAAATCAAAGTTGCAATCCTTACAAAGTCAACATTATGGTTAATAAAGGTTTTTGACATGAAGCCTCTAGAAATTAAATGTTTAAAATTTATTACTTCTAACACTGTATAATTTTCTGTGGTACATGTAAAAGTTATTTAATTTTACAGCAGTTTTGCAGATTATCTCAATTTACGGAAAGTATATTTTGATGTCTTCTATTTCAAAGTATTCCATAAAATTTGCATGCAATTCATTTTTTGTATTCAATTTTAATTTTATACTTTTGAAAAAAAACTAAACAATGGTTTCCGAAGACTTCTACTGGATAACATTTCTAAAATGAAAATTGTTTAGCTTTTATTTCAAGTGACCTTTTTCTATATTGGTGAATAACATAATTTACTGCAATCAAGTATGTAAACAAGACATATATGCATTTATATCAAATATATTTGAGTGATAACTTTCATAAATCAAAGTTTTCATAAGTGAACAATATAGTTTTTTTCAAAGTTTTTATAGTATCAAAGTTTTCATAATGATCACTATAGTGTATCAAACTGTTCACAGTGTCAACGTTATTACTGTAGCAAATCAAAGTTTTCATAGTTATCGCTATAGTAAATCAAAGAGTCAAAGTTAACACTATAGTTTTCATTGTGTCAAAGTTATCACTATAGTTAACTGTAGAAAATATATGTATGCAAATAATATTTTAATATTTTATTAATATGTAAATCTAAATCCCCCCTCCCTTGAACTGTTTAATATTGAATTGATTTCTGCCTGTTCCTAGCTGATGGGCTTGGGTGCGCGATGTGGCTCATGGGCCTCTTCTTATATGTGACTATGTAAAATTTTAAAAAAATAATAAAAAATGAAATAGCTTGTAAATTAAAGAGTATTATTTTAAACAATAAAGAACTTTTCTGGTGTGTTAGCAAGGAAATCATCCAAAACGAAAATGCTTAGTTGACCGTCAACTTTTCGTCAACATGCAGTCAACTAGTCGTCAAGTGAATATCAAAAACAATTGATCACTGGGAATTGAATGTCTTTTTTAAAAAAAAAGTTTTTACTGTTTTGCATAAAATGGTCAGTTGACTATTAATTGATTGATTTCGACTGAGTTTACCATTAGTTAAATGCTAATACTTTGAAAATTTCACGCAAGGAAAGAGTTGACCATTGTTTAACTCTCCTACTTTGTAAAATCTTGCAATGTTGTCTATAATTGACAACTTTGTGTAAGAAATACTCTCGGACTCTATTCATGTTGGGTTAAAAGCGACACTTTTATAATCCGGGATTGCAATTTCATTATTCTTAAAACAATCTTGATTTGAATTCAAGAAACGTGTAATGGTGTGTGTTTTTGGTAGAAAGTGGGGATTTGAATTGACGAATTATATAAATATTTTTGTTTCATGAATGATTCAGCTTATGCAATCGATTTAAGTATAATACTCAAATATTTCCTATTTGTTTATATTCTTCTCTAAAAGATATCGGGAAGACTGCAGACTATAGCTTTTATATGTCTCAACTAGTGTGTACGTGTTGTGTACGTGTATACAAACAACAAAAACTCAGAAAGCTTGTTGTGCATCATTTCTTTTGTTGTGTTTCTTGTTGTTTTGTTGGTAAAAATATACCATTGCTTTTGATTTTTATACTTTTCTGCGCCGAAAATAAAGGAGCCATAACAACAGTGAGAATCTGGCAACTCAGTTTTATGCATATATGTATAAATAGCATTTTAATGGCCCAATGTCCTGTCTTTTCCTACCCTACTATCTGGACTTCAGTGTCATGGTAGCTTTTCAAAGCAACCCGCTTGCTTTAAGTTTACAAGACTGAATAACAGAATATTCAACAGTGGTCAACTGCACAAAAACTATAAGAGTATTCAATAGTGGTCAACTGCATCAAAAATATAAGACGTTCAACAATGGTCATCTGCACAAAAACTATAGGAATATTCAACAGTAGTCATCTGCGAAAAAAATGGAACTATTCAACATTGGTCAACTGTAGAGAAAATAGAGGAGAATCCAATTACAAAGTAAAGGTCAATTGCACATGTAGAAAAAACTGTCAACTGCATATAATATATAGGTGCATTCAACAGTGGGCAACTGCACAGAACATATAGGACCAACTTTTTACCAATGAAGCTCCCGTAGTTGACAAAAAATCAACTAATGGACAATTGACGGGCAATTGATCGTAAGCGAACCGTCAACTGAATACTGCAATTGAACTCTCGTAGTCCTTTTTCGTATGGGATTGTCTCAGCTGTTGCAGAAAACAAAAATGCATGTACCTAACCTGCATCAGCTGGTTATGTACTTTTTTCTGCAATAGCTGCAGCCTTTTATTCCAATACTAACAAACGAAAAAAACATGTTATCGTTTGTATTTATGTATGTAAAAATGATCATGTTAGAAAGATTAAGTACGTTTAATATTGTATCACTGCTTTGTACGGCATTGTATGTCTCATTGATGGTAAAGCACACTGTATGAGAAATCTATAGAAGTGGCTTGAAAAATGGTTCTAACCGGCGTTTGCTGAATAAAAAATGGGATGGGTGTCATAAAATCATTAGCAGATTTTAAACTTTTACAGTGAGTCACATTAGCAAATGTTGCTAGAAACTGTTTTTGTCTTTATATATATATATATATATATATATATATATATATATATATATATATATATATATATATATATATATATATATATATATATATATATATATATATATATATATATATATATATATTGTGCTGTTGATAATTAACAAGCTCTATATATTATAGACTATTCATTTGAATTTAAGAGTATGTAGATGCACTTGTATGTAGTTTCAAAGTATTAGAACTTGAATATTGTTTTTAAATCAAGGGTTCAATACACTGACAGAACCAAATTTAGAAGTTGCCTCCAAGTAACCCATCTTCTCAACCCACTTCCCCAACGTATCATTATTTGTCATCGAAACAATCTATTGCACCGCAGTTATTAGAATATCTCTTTCTTTCTCTATCTCTCTCGTACATGTGTCAAACGTGTAAGAAAGTTTATGGATTTTGTAAAGTGACTTACTTGATCTTCGAAAATAAATTTCTAAATACGCTATATTAGACATGCGTTTTAGTGAAAATTTCCACCAAGCAGCTTTAAACTCAGGTTTAGCCAATGTAATACTGCAGGTGTTTTCACGTTCCTCCTGGAGGTAGCCATCTACTGCTCTGTCTGCAGGTGCGTTATAACCGCTGTATGTTCTACTCTGGGATGCATGTCCTTTATACGCTGGTAACGAGCTAAGATTATCTTCAAACAATAGAACATTAAATTTACTATAAAAGGTACTTTGTGAAGAAAAAAATGACTATGCTTAGAAGAAAAAAAGGTATTTAATGAAAATCTGTGCATTTATCGAAAAAATGAACATTGTCAAAAATCATGCATATTTTTAACAATATGTTATTTACCAAATCCTTCAACTGTATGGATAGCATTCCAAAGAAATATGAGGAGCATCAATCTTTTAAACTCCTCCATAAATGCTAATGATTATCCAACTGCATTGCCATTCGTCAAAATTTACACGATTTTGAAAGTTAAAGAGAAAAAACACAAATATCACCACACTCCGATGATAAAGATTTCCTATGAGGAAAAATATTGAATTCCACAAAAAAGATTGAATTATAAATTTCCTTAATTTTTAGTAATACATTACACTCTATTGTGTACCTTTTATGCATGACGATTGAAAACGCATAAACAATCTTTACCTAAACAATGTGACACAAGATCTGAAATTGCGAGGAATTTTCCCTATTTCTATTTACTTTCTTTTTCATAGTTTCGTAAACTTGTCTATATTTTTAACAAGATTTTCCTAAAATTGCCTCAGAATTATGTCACATGTGTTAAGCATTTGAATTACAAGATGAGGCGTCATGAGTGAAAAATTAGAGGGAATCCGCTTTCAAGCACCTAAAAAAAATTGAATAATGAACGGTGGTCGTAGAGTTTTAGAATTAAGAAAGTCTCTAACCTTTTCCTTTGTAGAAGACCTCCTGGAGAGCTATTTCCATCAGAAAACACCATAGCTGAACCATTTAGCAAACAAATACTGTATTTGATTTATCATATGATTAGACAGATTTGCACCTGCCTATGACTAAGTGTAAATGTGCTTACAGGAGTATTTTTAGTCCCCTACCGGTGAAACAAAAGGGGACTATAGGTTTCCTTTGAGTCTGTCCGTCCGTCTGCCTGTCTGTCCGTCTGCCTATCCCTCTGTCTGTCTGTCTGTCTGTCTGTCCAACTTGGTTTTCCACACTTTTTTTCTAAACGCTAGCAGATATTGAGCTGATTTTTAGTATGTGAGTGTATCTTGATGAGTTACAGATCAAGTTTGCATTTCGTTCCGCTTCAATGATTTTTAGGGAATTTACGACCTTTTCAATTTTTCAGGGCTTTCCGCATTTTTTTTTTCTAAACGCATGCAGATATTGAGATGATTTTTGATATGTGACTTTACCTTGATGAGTTCAAGTTTGCATTTCATTCCGCTTCAATGATTTTTTGACGGAATTATGGCATTTTCAATTTTTAGCGGGAAGCAGATTACACTTGCCGGTAGGGGACTAGTATTGCTAATGCAATACTCTCAGAATGCTTGTTTTTTTGTTTTTGTTTTTTTTTTTTTTTGCATATATACAAGTACGTTTATACAGCGAATTACACTTACATGAGCATATTTATGCAATTTATGTACATGTGAGTAAAGCTCGCCATATAAACAGCGTATCTAGACGACGACTATTCGATAAACAGTTTAATTGCATTAAGTTTATTATTAAGACGTGTTTTCCAACACTTGGTGAATTTGTTCAGTTCAAAAGGCACCATTGCTAGATTCATAAACTGTTATCTTTTAAAAGTTTTCTGATAAGGTTTTAAGAGCTTGCTCACGTAGGACATAATGGCATTGTCTCAATAAAAACACTACTAAGAGGCAAAGTATGGATTATCAGAGTTAAAACAAGTATTTTGGAAAAGTTTTGCAAAAGTCTTTACGGATGTCGGTTGTTGAGTCAGCTAAGTAAACCTTAACCAATAAAGCGCGCAGTTTGTCTTCTGCACTATGGCAACACCGTAAATCTTTAAGTCCCATATCTGATAAAAAGAATATATTTATGAGAATAAATTAATACCACATATTTAAAAAAGATCACCAGAGATCGTTACAGGTAAGGTTTCGTTTAAGTCTCAGGGATTGCCCTATGAATTCACACTGACAGGGGACCTCACTTTTTAAGTAAACATTTTATGAATTTTATGTTGAACAATCAGAAAACGATACCTTTATACCCGCAAACAAACGGAGATTCGGTGCGACAAAATATTTCGATTAAGATATGGCACAGAATTTCTTTTGTTGAAGGTCAAAATTGAAATTTGCACTTGAAACATTTCTTCTGATATATCGATAAACTGAATATCTGACGATTAGAGGTTATCAATTACAGATACTTTCTGGTAGTGAATTTCGCATGAAGGTATTGAAGATTTTCGACGATAATTATGCTGAGCTTGAGGAACGCCACCTTAGTGGGGAAAGTAAGGAAAATAGCAAAGCGTATTCAGAAAACAGCCCTGGCAGCTGAAACCGATATTGGTACAGGGAAACAAGTTTACAAGTTCGTAAAATGACATTTAAAATAAGTTATCCACACTGAATAACTTTCTTCCTTCATTTTTTGTAAATGACTACAATGTACATGTATTGTTGAATCACATGGGGGGGGGGGGGGATACTTATACATTAAATGGGTAAAAACTTTTTATAATCATTCTGTTATTGATAAAAATCATGAAACAAAAATTAATGGAGAAATTGAATGTTAACCAAAAATTTCCCCAACAGACCTTACACAGTTAAGAAACTTTCTGTAAGATTTAAGAGATTTTCGAAATAATAATTATTCGAAGAGTGAATTATCTCGTATTGTAAATGTTATGCCTTAATAGCAGTATTTGATTGTGCGATGCACCATCATACTTGAGCAATACATTGGCATGTTTTATTCTCAAAATAGACAAAGGATTTATAAATATTTAAATACAAAGTACACAACCTTAAAAATACTACTACAACTCAAAATGAACTGAACAGTTCAAGAAACACTGTAGTGCTAGAAGATTTCCCAAATTAATTATGAAAACCAAGACCCCCCAAATCCAAACCAACAGACCAATAGGAAAATCATGTTATTTTTATTTTTTCATTGATGCCCGCTAAATGAGGATAAATATTTACATAGAAATTGATGTAAACATAGTGTATGTACATGTGTAAAAAAGATTCAAAAATGATTTATCGTGTCCAGTCATTTAAAAAAAAATCCATATTACCAGAAAGCTGAATTTGCCTAAAAAAGAATGTATCTTACATGTCCTCTTTTATGCATGCACACACTATATATCTACATTAACTTGCAATACCCGTAGATGTATCCTAAATTTTACAAAAAGTGAAGACCATATAAGTGAAAATGGAATTGTCTTTGATATTGTCTTCAGGCATAGAATAAAGAAGAAAAAAAGAACATCGGGCTTAAATCGAAAATATTCATAACTAACTTAAAAAGAATTTTCTTTTAAGTTCACCTGAGCTGAGAAGATTAGTGAGCTTTTCCTGCCATCCGATGTCCATCTTTGTATTTACTCAGCCTTTGGAAATGGGAATTCAAATTTGATCTAATGGCAACGAGCATCCCCTCTATGTAAATAAAATCAAGAAATGGCAACTTCCTTAAGAACATACGGACCATATAAAATGAAACTTTTGAGGTATGTAAGTTCTAAATATTAGTACCCGGGGGTAGGGTAGGAATGTATATTCTAAATTGTTCAAAATCATAGCCCCTGTTGTAGGGTGCGGTAAAACAGGGTAAAATCATGTTCTTCCGAATACATCGAAAAAATATAAATGTTCTTCTCAAGGAAAAAATTGGACCTAAAAGCATGAAACTAACAGGTATACTTCAAGACATTGTGTAGAAATTGTGTAGATTCTATTTTTTTTCAAATCTAATCATTGCGCACAGTGATAAAGTGAAACCACAGTATGGTCAAAGTTTTTCATTGGAATGAATCCTTAAAAAATAAAATAAAAAAAACAAACAAAGAAAAACTTGACCAAAACAACGTATATGTTCTTTTTTTCTAGAACATTCTTGAATCTTGAATTTCGCGTATGTCCAGGTTGTGTCCGTAAGATCTTGTAATCACAATTTCTAGAATTTTCTAAATTCATGTTGTGTATAAAAACACTGTCGATTGTATGCATAAATAAGATTGGAGTACAAAAAGAGACGGGAATAAAAAGAAGACTGAAGTACGAAGAGACTTGGATAAAATAGTTGTCGGATACTCTCACTTGGATATTCTGTGTACAATAACGGGCACTCTGTTGTACGTATGTTTGGATCCTTGCTGTAAGTTTGTACTTTTTGATTTTTATATATTATTGTAAATAAATTTCTGTTAAGTTTAAACTGTGTGTGATTGAATTTTGCTGGCATTTTGGGTTATTCTGACCCATAACAACTATATGTTATAAGAAATATTTTCAAAAATCCTCTCAAGAAAACAATAGAACCCCAATTTGCAAACATTTCCAAGTTGTGTGTATTTTTTTTAAAATTACAGACACAGGGTTAGAGTTGATTAAAATCAAGATCAAATTTTACATAATGCATATTTACAAGATGATGATAAATAAATATAAATAATTTAATCTCCATAATTACTGCAAAGACACATTAGTCATATTGATAGCGAAGGACACCCTTGTTGTGTAGATTCAAATACCACTTAAAGTTAGGATGGGGCTATGATATGGAGTCACAATTTGCCAATGGAATATGTTTAATAAAATGTAAAGAAAATGTGGGTAAGCCAGGTAAGCGTTGAGACCAATTTGCCTCATGTTTATATTAGAATAATCTTTTGCAAATATTATAAATTTTGTCTCCAAACACGATCATTGAAGCCACAGACTGCTTTTAAATGATTTCTGATTGAATTGATTGATAAAGCATAACGCTAAATAAAGTTTTGCTTATCCACACGTTAACACATAATTATGTGGAACTATTTAATAGAATATTTTTCCGAAAAAATAACAAAACATGTTTTTGGATGATAAAGGCCGGAGCTTTAATAATTGTTTCAATGACAAACGTCAGACACGCATTTAACAATCATTGGGTGCCACACACCTAAATTGGTAACGGGCGTTATGGCACCTTGCCTTCTAGGGTATTCCATAGCAAGGCGTAACAATATGTATTAATCGACTCCTAGGGTACCCCATAGCGAGTCAGCTGGGATATCAATGTAATTGCCTCCTAAGGAATTCCACTTATACCGAACAGGTAAGCCAACTATACCGAGTAAGGCAAATAAACCAAACGTTATACCGAACGGGGTACGAGGTTACTGTTATACCAAACAGATCCCTCACACAAGCTCCTCCATAGCAAGCTTGTATTGGCTCCTAGGGTAGCCTTAGCGAGCCACCACATGCTCTACCAAGCATGTAAAATAGATAACCAAACATAAATAATAATATAATGATGACTAATGTCTCATCTTGTCTGACATATCCGCCACTCAGAGATGTTTATACATCTCTGCCACCCAACAAATAAACTTTGTGGGGAGATAAAAGCTTCTATGGCAGATTGTAAAATGTTTGTTATATAATTGCATTTCCCACATCCGACATATGCACTCCGTCAACGCGGTATAGCCCCTCCTCCGAAAATTCTATATCAGGGTGATTGATAACTCTACTGTTAACAGATGCGACCGCCCTACGATCGGCTCTATTTACTCTTTTCCGTTTCCGTTCGACGGAGCATATGTCACGGCCCCCTATCCAATTTCGGCGTGGGAGTATATCAGACCATATTATTTTGCAACTTGGTAATCTGTCCGCAATTACGCATATGTCATGCTCTATTCTGGTAAACAATTCCTCATTCCTAATTGATGTTATATCATTTCCCCATATGTGGATTAATAAACATGCGGGAGGAGGACG